CATTTTTCACCAAAAGTAATGCTATGTACCTCCCAGTTGATGTAAGGATTGTGCTTTTCCAACCAAGGGAGCCCAAGGATTAATTCATGTTTGCAGGGGTTAGTGATGTATGCCGTAACAGTTTCCGTGTGCCTTCCAATGGTCAGAGTAAAACTCGCTTCGTGTGTGACCAATGGTCCTCTTTTTCCTTCAAATCCAACAAGAAGAACGGGCGAAGGTAAGGTGTGGCAAGGGAGGCGAAGGCGTTGAGATATGGACTCAGAAATGAAAGCAAAACCAGAAGAGCCGGTATCTACGAGGGAATACAGAGTTTCATTTCCTATTTTTACTTTTACGTACATGTGACGAGAGGAGGATAAAGACTCAGTAAGACCCGCGTGTCCTACCGTTAACGACTCCAACGGGCGACTTCTCGTTGGAGTTAACCTTTTAGCAATTCCGATCCTTCTGATATGCTTTCCGCTGTAGACACAGAAATATCCGAATTATTTAACAAACAATTGAGGGCGAGATGACCTTTTGTGTTACATCTAAAGCAGCGTCCTAGTGAGCGTCGGGCATCTTTGGCTTGTGGCGTTAGGCGTCCATCAGGGCCCTTCTCCCTTGAAATTGCGTCCAGATCCATTGCCGTTCCTCCTTGCGAGGTGGTTAATTCATTTGCTCTTTGTGACCAGGGTGAGATTGATTGACCTTGGTTCATAGGTCTAAAAGACGTGGGAGATTTTTCTCTTTGAGGGAGCCAGTTGGGAGTAGGAGCAAAGGTCGATGTTGGTGTTGAAGTGGAATGGAACGCCGCCCACATTTCTTGAATTCCAGCATCTTTTTTTCTGAGGTACGTTACGAAAGCGTGGTACTCGGTTGGTGCATCGGAAGCAGAAAGTAGAATATCTCTTAATTTATAGGAGAGTCTACACTCAAGCATCTTCTTCCAAACACCTTTTTCAGACAACCCATATGTTGAGTCAACAATATTATCTTCGAAAAGCGTGATAAAATCTTGAAACTTCATATTTCTTTGGGTCATTGTCTCTACGGCTCGAGTGGCTTTATCTTCTAGGCCAGGATCTTGACATTGTTGTCTTAAGGCTGCCATAAACTCATTCATTGTTGTAATCTCGGGGGGAGCTGAGAGATCCTCCAGACAACGAAAACAGGATCTCATTTTAATCAGGGCGCCGGGGCCAAGGCATTGGTTTGCGAAGCGGACCTTCGAGATTTCTGAAGGAAAGAGGTGATTATGGCTTTGGATCTGATTGTTTAGCTGGGAGCAAAAAGGTCGGAGAAAACTTGGTTTTCCATCATACAGCAAGATGGGGGGCACTGAGAGTCTAGTCGTGAATTCAGATAGGCCTGGCGGAGAATACGAGGACGGAGCTTCGAATTTTGGTTTTGTTTTGGCGAAAACTTCAGCAACGCGGGCTGGATCAAGAGACGACGCCGCAATCAATGCTCCGGGAACTTGAAGAAGGTATTGGACGTTCCAGAAATGAGCCGGTATCAGAGGGATGTTATTATCCGGTGATTCCTGTCTTGAGGCGGTTTCGTCATCCATGTCGTAGAATTGTACCTCGGGCAATTTGAATGTACTCGGCATGGGCACTAAGGGAAATGGTGAAGACGTCTTGTAATGTCAAACTCGAGGATACCAGGGGCTGTGTTTTATGGATAACTTAGAATTGCGAGTGATATCTGACAAGATTTGTCATAGACTAAGGTATTAATTCGGGATTCTAGCTGTAACTGAGGACAAGGGACAAGAGAAACTAGGACAAGAGACAAGGTCAATGGAAGACGGAAAACAAGACGTGGCCCTCTACATCGGCTCTACCCAACCCATATATACATCATAGTAACCATAGCAACTAGGGCTTCAAGGGGTGCGCCTGCTGCTATTCTATTACTTCATTTGTAACCCATAGCAACCATTGTAACCCGGTAAACGCTCTAAGATGAGAGAATATTCAGATGTAGTGTAGGGAAAGAATATGAGGGTGCTGCTCTATTCTCAGTTCCTGACAGTTGCCTCTTCTGTGGGCGAGAGGAGATGGAAGTTATGACTTTCAGCCCATTGCACGAATGTTTCTGAGCCCCTAGATGGTCCACGTGGCCATGATGGCTGCTACAGAGTGTGAAGGTTAAAATCCCCTTGGAGTAGACAACTCCCGCCGAGTTCTTTAGACTGATATGTGTTCAATTTTTTAAGCGCATATTCCCCACAAGAGCCAGCAGGTGCGTTAAAGATATTAAGTAAATTGAGTATCTGGCCATATTTTGATGTTAGCCGTAAGTGTAAAATGTCTCGAGATGTTACAGTGCGGACTTGTTCTGTACGGAGACCTACTCCTCTAGAGACATAGGAGATTACGCGCGGCTTTTCCGTTGTCCAGTTATCTGTTGGGGAAAAGGATTCGAAGGATGGATGTTGTTTGGTTATTCTCCTAGATCGGTCTTGAAATATCTAAGGTTCTTGTATGAAAATTATATCTACCTTATTTGCATAGGCTTTGTTTAAGGCGATTTCGTGGGCCTGTGCTCCTCGTCCAACATTTTTAGAGAGTATCCTTAGCGGTTTGTTGCGAGCTGTGTTTCGAGGTTTGCCGCTCATTATTGTTGCATTTGTTCCTCGCTCTGATTATGTTCGACGCTAAGAATGTCGAAACGGTTGTTTGAGCTTTGAGCAGATAAGCCAGGGTGGGGTGCCGCTGTCGGAGATTTTTGTCTAGTTTGTGGTATCGAAGCTGACGGGAGATTATCTACTGCTGGGGTAGAGATGATTTGCTGAGTGTCATTGGAGGTCTCTGGTGTGGGTTTTACACAGCCAGCTTCTGCTCGGTATTGCAGGCGAGCTTCTGCGCTGATTTTCTTGATTGCAGATATTTGCGGTTTGGATTTAGGGGGTGTATTAGGCTTGGGGCGGAGTTCACAGGTGGCATCATTAGCTGGGTGAGGGCCATGGCAATGAATACAGCGAGGGGGGCATATGTGCCCCGCGGGAGCAGCGCAGTGGTTGTTGTGTTCCCTTTCGGTATGTTGCAATGAGCCACAGAGACGGCATCTAATTGGAGATGCGCATGAGCGACTGTTATGCCATAACCAGCAACGGGTGCATTGTATTACTGACTGTTGTCTCGGAAGAATCTTTACTACTGTTCGGCATCTAAATAGGTAAAGGACGCAGGGTAGACGTTGTTGACTCTCTGAGAATCGGACGATCTATGACGTGGCTGACGAGCTTGGGTGTGCATCATTATTTTGTGAAGGTAAGACGGCGACTGGGGATACACCTTTGGCAGTGGAGAGGGCTTCGTGGATATCTTCTGGGGTTACTGGCCTTAAGCAGTACTCCAAGTTGTCGTTAATTGTCCCAAAGGTGCGTGGAACATTTTCAATACAGAAGGACACCCATTGGGTTGCGCTCTCTATGATTGCATCACCTGTGAGGTCCAATGAAGCAATTTTTTCTTTCAGAGCAGTGGATTCGCCGGTTTTCGGGCACGGAGCGAATCCTGTCTTAGTTGCTTGGACGTTGGTCAAGAGCGGGCCGCTAGGTCCCAGCTTTGATTTCAGATGTGTCTGGATTGCGTACGCAGAAAGATTCCTACGTTTGTCGCCCTCTGGTATGCGGATGAACAACCTATTGTCTGGGCGTTGATGTTGTTTCTTGGTTGCGCTTGGATGTGTAGAGTTTTTCTGCAAGGCCTGGCTATCTCTAACCGATTTGTTTTGTGGCGGGGGCGCCTGCGCTGCGCGGTGTGCTGCTCCAGCGTAGGTGTGAGTTGTGGTAGCGAGCTGAGAGGATAGTCTTCTTTCGTTCTCGCCTGGGGCTGTTACTGTGGGCTCCAATATTATCCCGCTGATGTAGGCCGAAAAGTGGCTTTCAGCAACATTAGAGAGATCTGTGAGGAATAAAAGCAGGGCCTTTCGTTGGTTCTCTGGTAGGCTACTCTGTGTAAGATCATTGCACTGCTGATCAATTGTGTGGACTATGTTGCCGAACAGGTTCTCTGCCTCTTTGACGCGGGAGGTTGCGGTCTGAACGCTTTTAGCAAGAGCGCTTCCGAGGGAGCAGCTCTCGAGAGGGTCGTCGTAGTAGAGAGTAGCGACTGGGCTACACATTTCAATGTTGTTTTCGGGATCGTCCAGATCCATCATTCTAATCTGGGTTTGGGCGGTCTCATCGCCCGTTGCGGGCTGAGCACGTGCTGGAGGGTGAGAATTCGGGTTCGTAATTTTCAGTTTTGATGCTCTTTTGAGTTGAGTTTTGTGGAGTACCTGGGTTAAAGTAGGTTTCTCCCGAGTGTCAGTCGTTCTTATGGGAGCCAGTGTGAATTACAGGAGAGTGGGATTTTGTTTCTTTGAGATCTAGACGTTTGTTTAATGGGATGTTTATGTATAAGTGAAGATAATATGAGTCGCACATGTGTGTTCTGAAATATAAAACGAGGAAAGGGCTTTTTGACCGATCGTCATGTGACCTTTGCGGATCTGAATTCACAAACATTCCTGTGTTACATAAGTAACAATATCCCCAAAAAGTTTAGATCTTGAAGCTATTTCATTTATATCTCCAAATACACGACATGTCTGAATATTTGGCACTTCTCGCATTTCTAGCGGAGAACCCAATGCGTCCAATCCTAGAACGCTTTCAAACTAATTTTAACAAAGAGGGTAATCTTTAAGCAGAAATATTCCGTCTGGAAGCTAAAGAATATCCAGACAAAAGAGCAGCTACCGAAAGATTTCTCTCTGACCTGTGTCTGTATGGTAATGTTCGTGGTAGAGATAGAGGATTGCCCATAATATTTTTCGATTTTACGAAGAACTCTATCTCGAATGAACAATATGATCTCTCCATTTTTAACCATATCATCTACGCAATTGACCAAAATTACGAGGATCCCTTCATTTTACAAACTTGCATCAACCTCTATACAATCCTATCATGCGGCCTGCTTGACACTCTTCCTTATCAGAGAATCTCATTCTCAATCAATGACATGCGGGATTTACTTCAACGCGAAGTTCCAGAATGTTATATTCATTCTCGCGCATGCAACGCGTCAGTGATACTATCGAAGCTTGAATCCAAGACGTTTACATGTGTTTCAAGTTTCTGGGATAGATTTTTCGAAGGGAAAGCCTGGTCTGATCAGACAAAGCGTATTTGGGAGAGCTATGAAAATTATAAAAATGAAACTAACCCCAAAAATTTCCCTCTTAACTTGGCTGAGCAAGGAATATGGGATTGGATCGCTTCATTTAATAACCTATTTTTGAGCCAGCTTTTAGAGGTTCCATCGCTACCATCAGGGCAATTTCCCACCCTCATTAGAAAAGAGAATGATCTCCCACTGCGTGGAAAAATATCTCTTTCATCAAACATAAGAGGATTCTTTGTAGGCCAACATCAGGGACAGATTGATTTCCTTATCACAAGTATCGGCAGAGATAGTAATTTTCCTAGATGGGATAAAATGAGGGTGGTAGGTGTGCTTTGTGGAAAACCTGTAGGATATAGAAGAAAAACTAGGTTTATCCAGCTGGCTACTTATGTTCGGGAAATATTCAATCAGCAACCAGTGCGGCGATTTGTGCACGGGTTCTGCGTGTTCGACAAGGTTATTGAGTTCTGGCTGATTGATCGAACTGGTGCATACAGCTCGGGCTTTATAAGTATCAAAAATGATGAGCAAGTTTTGGTCCGTGCCATCTGCTCATATTTACTGATGAGTGACGAAGAAGTGGGTCTCGATACAACAATTCGCGAAGTTGATGGACAGCCCATGATTACAATTGATGATGGTGAGCCTGGTCAGACCAGGGAGATTGAGATCAACCCTAAACCAATCATCCGGCCAGAAAAACTGATATCATGTGGCACCACCTGTTACCGCTCAGTTGACGAGAAATTTCTGGTCAAATATTCGTGGCACAGGGTTCACGGGAAGTCCGAAATTGATTTACTAAAAGAAGCTCTCCAGGTCAGGGGTGTAATCAATCTGGTGGCATCAGAAATAATTCACAAGCGGAGTGATGTTTGGGAAGATTTGTCAGCTTTCATTCCTAAAGAATGGCTCCAGATGGAACACGAGAAAACGTCAAAAGACTCTGGAGAAGAGGAAACGGATGGATACGGGGCATTGGATGAATATGAAATGACTAGAGCTGTTCTATCACCATACGGACGTCCTCTTAATTCTTGTAAATCGGTATTGCAATTCCTTATTATCATACGAGATGCACTTATGGGGCACCGTGGCTTATTTAACAAGAAAATTATTCATAGCGATATTTCCGAGGATAACATCATTATAGTAACACCAACAGAGGATGATAGATCAAGAGGGATGTTAATAGACTTGGATCTTTCAATCTCGGACTACGATACTTGTAAGACGAGCATACGTGAATATCCCGTGGGCACATCAAAGTTCATGGCTCTTATACAAGTGGCGATGTGGGTAGGAAATGTATCTAAGCGGGATTATAACTTCAATTCTTCTTATCTTTTCGACCTTGAATCATTTTTCTACGTGTTTCTAACAGGATTCGTAGAATATGGACGAGACCCTGATCTTCCATTGCACAACTTGGACTCATGGCGGGAAAAAGACGTAGATAATATCCTTAGAAACAAGTACGAAGATATCGATGAGAATTTTGAGAGCTTTATTAACACCAAGTTCTCAAGTAGTTTCGTCGATTTCAAGAATTTGGCTTTGGAGCTGCGTGTTATATTGTTTGGCAATACTAGTTATAGTTACAAATTACCCCGCGACTCCGACTTGGTGTACAAGAAAATTATTAAGGCATTTAATAAAGCCATTGGGCAAATTGAAGGTAAGATTGTTTTACAATTACATCCAAGAGCTTTTCCCTACCATGAGAGACTATCTGACAGACCATAACTTTTACTAGCTGGAAAAATCTCGAACAGATTTTGGACGTAGAAGAAGGATCAGCGTTATAAATATATCTGGCTAGATTATTATTGACTTGATGCATTTACAGGATCAATCAGCAAAGGCAGTAAAGTTTTTGGGCTTATGAAGTAGAATTTAGTGAAGATTTTCGAATAGTTGAAACAAGCAAACTATTATAAAGATATGTATCGTGAGGAAGAGGAACGTATCTAATGTCGTGAATTACAAGGAGCTACAATTAACTACAGTCTCTTAAGAATGGCAAAGGTAAAGTTGTCAAAATGACTGAGGTTAGATCCCTATGCATATCGATTAGATTGGTTAGTCTTCATGCAGGCCCATGTCTAGTTCATCGGCTAGTTATGCAAGCAGGAGTACTATCCAATGACATTCCATGAAAGTCTAAATTATGGGGATGGTTTTCAACTCTAAATGAATTGTACAATAGTCCTCATTTAAATTTTAATATTTAAAAAAAATCAATTGATATTCTCTAAAAATACACGTCTATTTCAAAAATAATAGCTCTGTATTACAAAATATACAACGAAGCCCTCAGTATGGCTCGCAACTAAAATGAAAGCGTGCTACATGTTTTGAATTAGTCTGATCCATCCCAACACTTTGTATACCCTCCATTTTTCTTTATCACCGCTATACATCTTTCGTGCATCTTAACCACACTTAACGGAGACATCTTCATAGCAACGCATCTGCTGTAACCTATTTTATTAAGGGCATTTGAAAGTTAATGCTCATTTCATCCCTGGTGGCTGAAGGGTCCCATTGCTAGTTCCAAATAGCACATCTGTCGATTCTCTGGAGACTCCCGGACGAAAGCCTCAAGCTCATCAACTTGTTCAGCGCCTAATTTAGATAAGCATCTTTTGCGAGGTATAGGATTCTCAGTCTCTCGAGCACACGTAAGTTGCACTTGCCATCTTGTGAAGCCATGTTTGTCGGATATATGTTGTAATGTCAAGCCAAGTCTTTATGTTCTTATTTCAATACATTCATCGCGAGTTAGATACCTGCAAACTTTAGTTTCTGAAGCAGACTTTTCGAGAGACATTGGTTGCCGGAATAGAGAATGAATTGATAGTGGTGTTGATGATGAAGGGTTGTGCAGTCAAAAATGTCGTTGAAAATGCGTCTCTCTAAGCGCCTGTATGAATCAGACGATTGGAGGGCAAGACTGAACACCTGTACGTGGTGTCCTCTTCGAACCCGGGAGTGAAATATTCTCCCAGAGCCAATTTCAGTCAAATTTCGTAATATCGAACAAGTTGGCCCACGAGGTAATGATTCAAAATACTCCGCCATATCAATCTTTCACTCCCAACGAAATCGATTCCTACCTAAGCCTCATTAAGTCTACAAGTACGACCTAGTACATCCTCTTTCTAATGACCACATCTCTTGTCGACTTTCTCTGGCCTTAGCTGGTCGCCAGATACACGCCCACGCCGACGTTTACATCCGACGGAGGACATAAAGCGTGGCGCACAAATCTGGAAGACAATTCCTCGGGATGGATGTGAGAGGGATCTGAACAAGTTGATTAGATGATGCAGAGGATTGGATACAGTCTCGACGGGCGTGGAATTTTGAGTTTTGGAAAGGAGTTATTTACAAATTGAGCTTAGTGCGTGCCAAGTCTTAGGCTGCGAGAGTGCAGGCGACACTATAAACACCGCCATGGTTGGATGGTGCGGTGGTACATCGTCTTGGCCGGTCTGCCAAGTAGAGTCTGGATAGCTTGGACACATATCCCACTCGAGACAGCAGATCACTGGTTCAAATCCAGCAAAACATAACCACTTTTTCTCGCGGCGCTGGTATGCATGGACGACGAAGGCATGCTTGGATAACCAAAGGTTTCGAAATTCCCTTTGGTGGGTACTTACAGAGGAGGGTCGACCGTTTGTGTAAGCGAACATACCTCATTGTGGTATTTGCGAATGAAATCCAGAGTATGAGTGTCTCTAACGTCAAAAGAGTCATCCCACATGTATACATAGCGCCGGTCATGTGTCATGTGTCATGTGTCATAGCTAGATAGCTGAATACACATTAAATGATTTTAAAAATAAAAAAATAAAAAGAATCAGACGATTGGACCATACTTCATGGCTAGCGGGGTTATGAGGAGAGACATACTAACCTATTACGAGCTAGCCCAACTGGGCCTACAGGGCTATCCCTTAAACAACCCAGTTTCAAGTTCCAAGAAGAGGAAGAGAAGATATTAGAGCACATCATAGAAGAGCAGACCTTGCATACTTGAAAGAGATTTGCGGAGAGGAGAAATCCAAGGACTTACAAATAGGAGCGGTAACAGTTGCAGCGTACCTAGAATGGGCAAAATCTTGGTATGCCACAAAGCGAACCCGACAGCCTAAACAATTTGCTCCAGCTAATCCTAAAACTTGGGCAGCAGCAAAGTTCTGCCAATGCCGCCATTCTGGACGTACTGCAATGAGCTTCCGGTGGTCACCATTTTCTCTCCACAAAAACCTGACAAGGGCTCAAAGTAGCTTAGCGATCCAAATTCGAAGCGAGCATTTCGGGTTTAATTTTTTTTTTGCATCAGATTTTAATTGCGTATGCAGCTATCTAGCTTTGATACAATATCAAAGAAAAGTACAGAAAAGATGATTTAACGTAAAGGAAGAGCACTCATGCCTCAGATTTCATTTGCAAGTACCACTGCAAAATTATGGTGGCTTTTTCGTCACCCCAAGGCAACCCTGATCCGTGAATACCCATTCAGGGGAATATCTCAAAAACCCTGAGTTATCCAGACATGCCTCCATCATCTTCCAACTTTTCTCCGCGCGAAATGTAATCTGAGGTGTCTATTTCCCAAGCGGAGTAGGTACTCAGGCTACTCTAACTATACTAGAGAACACCACGTCTGCGACGCGTCAAAATCGCTGGATTTACATACACCAACACCCACAATCGTCATGTAAGAACATGGAAAACGAAGTGACGTAATGATGGCAAATGAAATCTAAAAAATTGGATTAACTGTATCAAGTAAATAAAAAAAGCAGCTGAAAGGGCAGCGCAGCTTTCCGGCAAAAATCGGGTGTCTCAGCTACTGGCCTTAAGTGATTACAACACATAGACCGAAATTTTGATCCAGAAAACCTCAAATATTCATTTGATATTCTTCTTCCGAACTTGATGTGTAGATTGTAAAAAATTAAGGTTAATTTTGGAAGTACCAAAATAGCTGTCGGACTCTGGCGAAATATCATTTCAGAGGGTTTTTGAACTGAATTTAATTGGTAGATAAGAAAGTGGCAAGAAGTTATGTGATCAAACCAAAGTGGCACATCTCAGTGCTTAAGCACCACTGAGTTCCCTTACTTTGTTGTTACTAAACAGGTACGTCTCACTCTAATAAAGTTCCCCACTAGACACTAAGTTAGTACCGACATGTTCCTACATTTTTAAAGATCTCGATTACTGGTGTCGATTGAGATACATGTTATCATGACAACCACCGCATTACTCGCGGGAGTAGAGTGTAAACCATCCGACACCTGATTAAGGTTGTCAAGATACAGGCTTGTTGTTATGAGGTTAAAATTTGAGAGGGATTTCGGGCTGTTGTAGAGGAAAGAAGAGTGGTATTCGAGCAAAGTAGCAAGTGAACAGAGCTTTAGACGTAAAGCTGTGGAGTTGACGAGAGGAGCGATGAATATAACCTTCAGGGGTATCAATACATCGAGTCGACTCAAGATTTCTGTAGGACACTATATTAATACAGGAATTAGTCCTAGTGGGACGAATTATTAAGTAAACCCGGATATGCACATGTCCTAATATGGCAACATTATTATGATGTGAGTATGTCTTGATTACCGGTAGACCCCAAAGCCAGCTGAGTGTAAGACAAAATCACGCATATGCCATGATTCCAATGTATTTCGTGATAAGTGCTTATAGTAATTCATAATTCAGAGAATAGATAGTGCATGACTAGTGTAACAGTCGGAGGACTGTAAGATTTTCAACACCTGTTAATAGCTAACGCCTTTGTATGGCCTCACTGACGTTGTAAAATCCAACGTAGATGTGTTACAAGTCAGTGGACATGATACTAGCATAACTCCCGCCATTTCTCATTGATTGGAAAAATATAAATGTAAACCTTAAATTCAAAATCTATATCTAATTAATATCTAGTGCATACACGTTCATCTGCTTGACACATAGAAGTTAGTTCACACGTCCAACCAGGAGCCACGTGGTGTTCTTCCTACCAGACGAGCAGTTATTAAAACTGATTGTTGCGAGCAATAGCCTGTACTGCGATCAATTGTCAACGTGCTATGAAAGTTGGATTCTTGATCTTTCCAGCTTATGGTGAATAGTTTGTCAGCAAAGCTCGAGCTAGAAAGAAGAGTACTATCATGCGTTGATAAATATATCTTACCTCTTATGTCCTCGATTGTGTCATCAAACGCTTCTATCATTCT